GTGCTTTGGAGCCCTGGTGGTGCAGTAGTTAAGCGTTCTGCTGGTAACCAAATGATTAGCAGTTCAAATCCACCAGCCATTCCTTGGAAACCCTATGGGGCGATTCTACTCTGTCCTATAGGGTAGCTATGAGTCAGAATCAACTCCACTGCTATGAGTTTTTTTGTTTTTGTTTTTGTTTGTTTGTTTGTTTGTTTTTTAATGGGTGCTTTTGCACTACAATGGCTGAACTGACTAGTTGCAACACAGATTGAATGACCCACATACAGTCTAAATATTAATCATCTTATCTTCTACGGAAAAAAATTCCTGACCACTGATCTAGGAAGAGTCATGTACTAAAATAATAGGTATAATTACAGTTGCATAGTTGGTTAGTTAGTACTCTTCCACTCCAAATCTTCATGGTAACTATTAGAGTCAAAGCAAACTCAACTTTATTGCACAAATTGTAATGGGCCTTTAAGCCAGAGTATGTTCCAAACCTGCTTCCTATTCTGCAGATTTGCACAAGTGGCTTAAACAGAATAACGAATAGAAGAATCTACGGGAAAGGTTGAACAAATAAGTCATTAACTCAAAAAAAAAAGAAGGGAAAAAATTTCTATTAATCTATTTGCCAAAATAGTTTTCACTTAGATTCTACTTTCAAGAAAAATATCAATTCTTAAAAAATAATTACATTTGTAACTTGTATGTTCTGCCCCTGTTTCAATGACATAAATATAAAGAATACAGAATAACATCCCTTTATGTTGCAACTTTTGTTTATTAAAATAGTTGAAATTATTCCAGTGTACCATTAAACTCAATTTCCATATTACTCAATTTCCCTATCCAACATACTTCTAAATAATAATAATAATTACATTGATTGTTACCACCTGCAGAGAATACCTTACCTTCCCAAACGAGAACAAATTATCCATTCAATGATGTTGGCTTCCGGGAACTGCTCTTCTCATCCTGTGTTCTTCATTCTGCTTGGAATGCCAGGACTTGAGAATTCCCACTTTTGGATTGCCTTTCCATTCTGTGCCATGTATGCTGTGGCTGTAATTAGCAATATCACTGTCTTTCATATCATCCGAACTGACCACACGCTCCATGAGCCCATGTACCTCTTTCTGGCCATGCTGGCTGTTACTGATCTGGTCCTCTCCTCCTCCACCCAACCTAAAATGCTGGCCATACTCTGGTTTCATGATCATGAGATTAAATATCATGCCTGCCTCATCCAGATCTTCTTCATCCATGCCTTTTCTTCTGTGGAGTTTGGGGTGTTCATGGCTATGGCCGTGGACCGCTATGTGGCTATCTGTTTCCCACTCCGACACTCTACTGTCCTGACCCTGTGGGTAGTGGGCAAACTGGGGGCAGCTGTGATGATAAGAGGGGTGGTGTGGGTGAGTCCCTTCTGCTTCATGATCTCCAGTATGCCCTTCTGTCACAACAAGGTCATTCCCCAGTCCTACTGTGAGCACATGGCTGTGCTGAAGTTGGTGTGTGATGATACTAGAGTAAATCGTGCATATGAACTCTTTGTGGACTTCTCTGTGGTTGGTTTTGATATGATTATCATAAGTATATCCTATGTCATGATATTGAAAGCTGTGCTGCAGTTGCCCTCAGGTGAAGCCCGGATAAAGGCTTTTGGCACGTGTGCCTCTCATCTCTGTGTTATCTTGGCTTTTTATATCCTAGCCCTCTTCACTTTCCTCACCCATCGCTTTGGCCACC